TTCTTTTGATTTCTTGCTTGCCTCTCACCGCCTCCCCCTCCTTTTGCTCGAGTGCCTGGCTCTGAGTGCCATTTTTGCTTCTTCCTGAGGGGCTGCGGGGCTCCATTCAAGTGTGCAGCTGCTTCCCTGTCTGGGCTGCCGCGCTGGTGGGATCCCGGGGCTTTTGTTCGTTTGTTCCTCTGCTTCCCATGGTCATGGTCTCTTGACCGGGAGGCACCAGCTGCTTGGATTCCACACACCCAAGTGGGCGGCTCTCTGGGTGCCATTAGTTGGCTGCTAGTGTTGCTTTTTTTTTCTGCTTCTTCTGATTTCTCACTTGCCTCTCGACACCTCCCCCTCCTTTCACTCAAGTGCCTGGCTCCATGAGCCATCTTTGCTTCTTCCTGAGGGTTTCCAGAGCGCCGGCAATTTGTGATATACGCTTTCCCACTCTCCACCCTTCTTCACCCACACTCGGCCTCCTCTGCTTCCCGTGGACACAGTCTCTTGTGCAGACACAAGTCTCTTGTCCAGCCAGCACTGGCTGGCTCTCTGAGTGCCATTTGTTGGCTGCTGGTGTTGCTTTTTTTTTTTCCCTGCTTCTTTGGATTTCTTGCTTGCCTCTCGCCGCCTCCCCTTCCTTTCGCTCGAGTGCCTGGCTCCGTGCGCCATCTTTGCTTTTTCCTGAGGGGCTGCGGAGCTCCATTCGAGTGTGGAGCTGCTTCCCGGTCTGGGCTACCGCGCTGGGGGGATCCCGGGGCTTTTGTTCATTTGTTCATTTTGAATTGTTTGTTTCATTTCTTTTCCTTTTCTTGAGTTGGGAGCCCCTTCTAGCCAGGAGGAGCTGCATGGCAAGGAACTACCCTTCAGCTTCCACAGATGTGTGGAGGGATCCCTGAGGACATTTATCGTTTTTTTTTTTCCTGTTTTTTTGGGGGGCCTTTCTTGTACTTTTTTTTCTTTTTTTTAATTTGTTTTGTTTTCTTTTCCCTCTTTTTCCCTTTTTGTCTTTCTTCCTTGTCAGTTTCTCATCCCTCTATATCTTCCTTCTCTTTCTGCTCACTGAATACCAGATGTTGTATGCCTCTGTGCCTTCTGGACAGGCTGTGCTGCGACACCTGAGAGCAACTTCCCCAGACCTCATAGCTGCATTGGTGGGATCCCTGGGAACTCTGCAGTTCTTTAACCTTTCTGATTTTTATTTGTTCATTCTTTTCTTTCTCTTCCCATTTCTGTTTTTCTCCATTTCATAGTCTCTCATCTCTCCATTCCAATGGCAAGCTCCCCTAGCATTCTGTTTTGTTTGTTTGTATGTTTTGGCTCCTGTTTCTCTCTCCTCTCTCCCATATCCATCTTAGCTCCACACATAACAATTTCCCCACTGCATCCTGCCTACCTGCACCGTGCGCTTGACATCACACCACCAAGCAGTGCAGGCACGGCCTACTGGAACCTGCCCAGCACTGATTACC